TACGTTTTAATGCAAAAGATTTGCATTTTATTTGTATATTTGAAGGATTTTCATTGTATTATTATTATTTTATTATTATTAAAATTTTGTTATGTGATTAGGATATATAAAAGATAGGATAAAACCATGTTTAAATAACTTTTTATATGTATTTTGAGTATTTATAGATAATATATAGATATACATTACATTAGATATGAGAAACCGATTTATTTTCAATTTATTATCAATTAATCACTGTTGCACCGATTAATTATGAGGCGGTGCCTAACCACCTCCGACCCGATTTCTGCCTAGCTTTTACAACTTTGACATAGTAGCTCGGTATATGAATCATACCTTGGGTCCCCGATCTGAATCTCGTGCTCCTTACGTGTTAGAAAAATAACTCCGCTTACTTTGAGGTGTGTACTGGACCATTAAATCGTTCGTCACTTTGTATCCCTACTAAGGCATTAATCGATGAACTTTTTGTTGCTCGCCTGAACGACCATGCGAGCAAACCGAGTGGCGAGTGCCCGCTAATGGGTTGGACACCGTGACGCTCATCGCCTTGCGGGTCTATCTTGACATGATCTTCCTTCTTCATTTCTTCATCGGACGAACAACATAAATTCCGGTGGTTGGACGTTCGTAAGAAAGGACGAATGGAGCAAGAGATAGTTAAGTTGGGCACTAACACGATAGTTTAGTTTAGTTTAACTCTCTCTTGCAATATTCTGATGAGATTCCAAAAGGATGTTCTACATACCATTTTCATTATAAAACGAAAAATAAAAATCATCGTATTAAACAAAAAAAATTGTTACAATAATAATTAGGGTAAATTCCATTTTTCCCCAAATACTTTCACTCGATATCATTTTACTTCATTCTACTCTCGATTGTATCCATATGTCCTCATGTACTTGAAAATTTATTTTATTGTGGAACTTGCCGTTAGTTTTCAGACCTTTGACCTTAACACCGTTTGATCTAAATCTGAAAATTACAAAAAAAAACTACCCCTCTCAGTTTAAATAATTATTAAAAATATTAAAAGAAAAAAAAATTGTGGTTGGCATCGTGGACTATTTTTTCTCGTTATCTTGAATTTATTTTTATTATGATTTTTTTAATAATTATTTAAATTAGGAGAAGTGATGTCTTTGTAATTTCAAAACTTAGATCAAATTAAGGTCAAGGAGGGAAATCTGAATTTACCATAATAATTAAATAAATTAGTTTGTGCATTTATCATGTGATATATTTTACCAATATACGAAGACCAATGCATTTGTATACCTAGCATGACACGTGTCGCAGTAAAAAAATAACTATTCAATGCTTAATACACAAGAAATTTAATTATTACAAATTTACAACAGTAACAACCCTTTCAAGTGTAGTTTGTACACATTTTTGTTATAGTCTTAATGCGTACCAGCTAATTTTTTTCATTTTAGATATGAGGACCACTTCTCAACTTGGTATATGTTTGCAAATTTTTATTTTTAATTTTTTTAATGGAAGTTTTTTTAAAGTGAAAACTAGTTTCAATTCCAAATTTGGACCGGAAATCTTGTTCCGAAATCGATTTTTTTCACAGGAAATTTTATTTGTCTTTAATCTAAAATACATAATAAAATTGATTCATAAATGTATTTTCTGGGGAGAAAAAAGAATTCTTAGGAAATTATATTTACGAAAAGTAAAATTGGACCGGGATACAGAATTTCACATGTATTTTATACGTATATTTAAAATTATCTGTAAATGTACACTTATTATAAAATATAAATTTTGTGTAGAAAATGTAAGATTATTGAATCGATTTGTACTACTAACTGAGCAAATGGAAATTAAAAAGGCGTTCATAAAAGAATACTTATATATATATATATATATATATATATATATATATATATATATATATATATATATATATATATATATATATATATATATATATATATTTGTAGACAATCACAACTCTATCTGTGACAACACTTGTCTCCGAACTCCCTGTATCAATTGACCAGAGAGACAAAATGACCATGTTATTGGCTTAAAATATACATACACGCACGAGATATATAAACACGCACATCAAGAAATTTTTTTTGTGCGTCTTGAGAGAGACAGAGATACACACAGAGAGATAGAGAGAGAGAGAGAGAGAGAGAGAGAGAGAGAGAGAGAGTTTTCACTTTGAAAGAAGAAGAAGAAGAAGAAGAAGAAGAAGAAGAAGAAGAAAGAAGAAGAAGAAGAAGAAGAAGAAGAAGAAGAAGAAGAAGAAGAAGAAGAAGAAGAAGAAGAAGAAGAAGAAGAAGAAGAAGAAGAAGAAGAAGAAGAAGAAGAAGAAGAAGAAGGAGGAGGAGGAGGTAAGGAAAATTGAATGATGGTAGTTTGTTCTACAGACCATATTTATTTGAAATTCTTGAAAGTATGTATGTAATTCCATTATACACCTCATGAATCAAAATTTAGAGTTTTAGAAATGGATAATTAATAATTGGAGATGATAATTAATTCGTATGAATACATGATTAATGTAGGACAATGGTTGGATTTGGCAAGGTCGCTGTGTTTTGGAGGTCACTTGCAATTCGGATGACTTCATCATCGCTCGTCTCTCCTTTTGTCGGAGCTCTCGTATTTTTCCTGCTTTTCGCTTCCCAGGTTCATGCAACTATAGAGACCAGGCAGGCAAGTTATTTTCTTGTTTCTTTTTTGATTTTTTTTTTTTGGTTTAATTGAATCGATGCACTTACTATCATTTCTTCTCAATGTAGGTCTACATTGCATATCTCGGAAGTCTCTCCGAGACGACGACTACCGACCACTATGGCCTGCTCCGTGAAATCGTCGATACAAGGTAACATTTTTTTTTTAATTCATATTTCTTATTCACTTGTATACTGTGAGAAAAATGATCATAGTAAGTATTGTGGCAGTTAATCCTTTCCTGCGAGTTTAATATGTAGGTTTTTTTTTGGGGGGGGGGGGGGGGGGGGGAAAATTTTTAGAAGTAGGGGTGCAAGTTGGAATCGAAAATCCAACTTTTAGATTTCAAAAATTTTGTAACACACAATTATAAACAGATTTTCCCCTTTGTTCCCGAGCCCTTTCGAATTGGAATGAATGAATTTTTAGGTTTAGAAATTTTTTTGAATTGAAATTGAAATTGGAACTAATTTGTACTTCCGAATTTTTTTGAAAATTTTGCGAAAATACTAATTCCGATCCGTTCAATCCGACTCCTATGTAGAAGTGTAGGTAGAGCCACAAGGAAATTATTAATTTTTTCATGACTCACTTTGAGTATAAAACAAACAGTTTCAAAGGTAAAAAAAAAAATAAACTAATCATTTTCCCCTGCAAAATTGAATTTGCTGTTCTGTTTGAAGAACACAAACACAAATTATGCACATATCATATTATAACTATTCAACATTAGAAACACCTCATCACATATTATAAAACCTCAAGAACATCTCCATACTTAAAAATATTCTTTTAGTAAATAAACTATATAGTATCTCTCTGATTTCTATCTTGCCAAATGTAGCAGACTTAACAACTGCATACAAATTATCTGAGAATATGTTATCTCTCGTAATATATATATATATATATATATAGTAAATAAACTATACAGTAAGCTGTTATCCGAAACAACGGTATCTGACAAGTTCATCTATCTTTCTATAACTTCACTGGTGATTTAGATAAGTATGTACAATTTTGGCAGAAGCCGGACAGAGAATATAATCTGGTTGCTAGTGCCCGTCTTTTCGCTTCCTGCTTAAATTCAAGAAAGTAAAAACTAAGCATTATTACAAAGAGTGTAAAATAGCATATTTTCTTCCCCGGATTCCAAGAAAACTGGGAATCAGGAAAAACATGGGAGTTTCCTCATCACTCGTGACAGAAAATAAGCATGTATTATTGCGTTACAAAACATTATCCATACACTAAAGTGTTCGTTGATCTTTTCTCTGAAGAACAAAAGATTGCCAGATGAAACGACGTAAAGAAAAAACACATGGAATATATACGATATATGAGTTGAATGTTAACTCCTACACGAACATTTTAGTCTGCTTCAACAATCACATACATGCATCGACCTAGATTTTTTTTTTTAATTCTTTAAAAAGGTAAAAATAAAAGAAGGTTGAGGCATGCCACGTATTATGAAAGAATACGTACATAACTATTTATTTGATAAATCAAAACCCGTCATCTAATAGTCAGAGAATCTGGTCAGTCGATAGTATGACGAATGAGTTGGTAAGAGATTACTGAGGAAGGTACCATCATATATAGCCCTTTGTCTCTGCTCGTTCTGGCCACACCAAAATCGCAAATTTTTAGCAGCTGCATACAATCAGAGTATTGCATTATAAAAATAAGCATTCTTGCATTTCTTGATTCAGAACAGAAATTAATATCTGAATAAAAAAGGAGAAAATAAAGACTTCCCAAAATCATAAAAATAAACACACTAATTGGACTCTTAAGCACATTCAGCAAATAGATCGTAGCCTAGCCATCTGATATACCTGCACGACCTTGTTTAATATAAATCATCATTTTTAATGCCTTTAGTCCCCGTTTGGTTGGCAAGATAAGATTAGTCAAGATAAGATTAAATAATCTAATGAGACCCAATTATTTTATTGGAGCTTGAAACGTCCAACAAAAAAATTCATTAGAAGGCAAGGTAAGCCAAGATAAAGCTAGATAACCCATGATTATATAATTTTGGCGGGTCGACCCGGCAATTTATTGAGGATACCAAACATCAAACTAAGTCCAACTATTTAGTTAATCATGGCTTATCTTGGCAACCAAACGGGGCCTTAGTAGATGGTCCACTTACACAATAGCCCCAATTCGCACAAACCATTCGTGACACATGAGAACCGTCAAGTAAAACTTCATGAAATTTGTTATCTATTTATTTTTTTCAGCTTCAAGAAAAATAATTGATGAACTCATTTACGCACAGATTCATGAAGCAGAACTTGCTGAGAAGCTACAAAAGGAGCTTCAACGGATTTGCGGCCTCCCTCACAGACGAAGAACACGAAAAGTTGGCTGGTACTTTTCACTCCCTGTAACAAAATTACACTTCAAATGTGTATATATTGTGTGTTATCACGACAAATATATATCATGTTAATATGTTTATAAGATATTCAATAAATGTCCCGTTATGAATTTGTGCATACAGTGGATTGAAATTGTGCTCGTATTTACATTTAGAAGCAAATACAAATTTGCTATTATCTTCAAGAAGAGCATCATAACCATAGAAAATCCTAAACAAACATAGCAAGATTTCAACTGATGGTCATTCTATAAGAAAATAGTCGCTCGCAAATGTTAAATTCCCGGCACAAAGTGTTTAGTCACTTCTCAATAAGAATTACTCTATTCTCTGTTGTGAGATGTTTAGAAGATTTGCCTTGCTTCTTTAGAGTAAACAACGAGTGCAAACTGCATTACTTCAGAGGAAATCGTGTGATACATACGGCAAAAAATAACATTTCTAATTATGAGTTGTTTTAGGCAGTCAAAATGACCATATTACCCCTCTAAGCTGTAATAGATCCTCCACGTATAAGGAATCCAGTCTAATTTCGTGACCATATCTAATTATAATATTATTTGATAGAGGTGCGTCCATCTTCCTTTCGTTTCTTGTAAGATGGCCCAATTTTATTTAAATATACGACACATACATCTTCTAGTTTTTGGAATATGCTAGGCACACAAGACTAGTAGAAACCCTACTAATATTGTAAAAAATAAGTATTTTCTTACCACGATCGAGGTAAGCATAATCCTCTGAATTTTAGCCATCCACAATCTCTTGATTCTTAGACAATTTCCTTTCACTTTTTACCATAAGATCTTTACCTGTAAAGATACGATTCAGCTGCACAAGACAATTGTTTCACTTATCATCGTAAATACGAGAGTATAAAGAATGACGTTAAATAAGAACAAGAAATAAAATGATGACTGTCTATGTGCTCATAAAAAATAAAAATGGTCATGTACATACTGAATGCATGACATACGCATCCTTGATACTTGAATATTTTTCCAATACTTTGAGGTAAATCATAGAATCCATTAATATTACAGAATAAATCAGAGGTATGCACGCTCGTAAATCCTATTTTCTGGGCAATAGACAAAACATGGCAAATCCTCGTTACTGCCAATTTGACCAACTAGAGAAATCTTGACTTTTTCTGTGCTCCTAAAATCAATATATCACATAACATGGAAATTCAGTCTCTAATCTATTATATTATTGCTCATACGAAAACACGATGTTGACGAATTTACAATTATCACAAAAATCCAAGTTTGTTCTAATAGTTCAAGAACCCTTATCGAGATAAGAAATAGCTACGTAGACTGGAGTTTCGAAATATAGAACTGGTCAAAGCCTTGTCAAAGAAACTCAAAAACATGGTAAAAGAAACCAAATAATGCAGCATGTCAAAAGAAATTAATTACTAGAAGATCCGGAAGCTTTGTGAAGAAGGATACGAACATTTCTTGTTCTCTATCGAGAAACCACAAAAAATAACTTCTCCTGTCATGTGTTAACTCCCAAATTGATAGGAGCTCGGTACTACAATTTCTTCAGACCAAACAAGAATACTTCTAGGGATGATATTGGCCACGGAAGTCATACAGCTTCTACTGCAGCAGGACGCCCCGTCGATGCCAACTTCTACGGCATTGCCGGTGGGATTGCCAGAGGCGGCGTGCCATCGGCGAAAATGGCCGTTTATAAGGCGTGCCATGGTACGAACTGCTATGGAGTTGACCTCCTACATGCATTCGACGATGCAATTGCTGATGGCGTTGACCTCATTTCGATTTCTGTTGGAGGAAAATATCCTAATTTAGAAAGTGACCCTATTGCAATCGGTGGATTCCACGCATCGGCAAGAGGTATATTGGTTGTACAAGCCGCTGGAAACGATGGGGGCAAAGCAACTATTGGAAGTGTCGCCCCGTGGATCTTCTCGGTCGCTGCTAGCAGTACCGACCGAGCAATAATCACGAAGGTCACTTTAGGGGATGGAAAGACGTATATTGTAAGTATATTATATATAGTCTTAGGCTGTAATTGTTATTGTAATATATTAATTGATTGTTAATTTGTGCTACAGGGAAAATCGGTCAACTCATTCAATTTACACGGGACTAGTTTACCAATAATTTACGGAGATGAAACTCGATGTCACAAAGATGCTGCAAGGTAATTTCTCGATATCCCTCTTTAAATATCTCGTTCTAGAATGTAAAATGTAAGACAATAACTTGTTTATTTTGAATTTCAGGTCATGTGCTAAAGGTTGTTTGGAGCCAAGTGTAGTAAAAGATAAAATTGTGATGTGCAACAACTACGATGGTATAGACGAAGTTTCTACTGTTGGAGGTCTTGGAGTCATTGCATATGCCAGTTCCTCGGACGTGTCGTACGTAGTTCCCATAGCCGCATCAAGCTTGAATGGGGACGATTTCAACTCGATTCAGAGTTATTATAGCTCCACAAGGTAACATCTAATTAGTTTAATGCATGATCATGAAATAAAGTGTAACGCAAACTTGAATAATAACTATGTTTCAACTTATAAGCTGCTGTCAAAAACCTACTACAACTTCAGACGTTCATTGGAATATGTTTTTTTCCTCTCTCACTCTCTCTTAGAAAAATCGAACTATGACTAATTTGATGATAAAAGTTACAAGTTTCCACTTGCCACTAACAGAAGATGAAAGAATCCTATCCAAAACTAAGAGCTAACACAATCTTGAAAGAAACCTTTGTATTAAATTACAGTTGGAGCCGATCAAACACAAGCAGAATTGAAATGTAGCTGAATTAGTACATCATCGTCTTTACCATTTTCTTTACCAGATATGTAGCACACTGGATACATATAAGTCAACTATTGTAATTAGTTGAAGAAAAAAAGAGTTCATATATACTTTACATTTTGCCTAGTTCAGACACCTTCTTTTTCATCCACTTTTCAATACATCAGCTTAATGCATTAATGAATTGTATTAAGTCAAAATTACTGAATGTGATCTGTGTAGATCTCCTATAGCGGGCATATTAGCTAGTGAAGCAATAAACAATACGGATGCACCTCACGTTGCAAGCTTCTCTTCGAGGGGACCAAATCCGTTTATTCCGGATATTTTGAAGGTATACACAACTGGTTTTTCTTTTCTTTCTTCTTTTTTTTGCTTTACTTGCACTTCACATATTATCACAATGTTGCTATTGTCTTATTGCATTATAAATCGTATCATATATATCTATATTTTGTACATGCAGCCGGATATTACAGCGCCCGGAGTCGAAATTTTGGCAGCATATTCACCATCAGTTTCACCAACAAATGATAAAAGATCTGTCCCTTATAGCATTCTCTCTGGAACCTCAATGTCCTGCCCCCATGTCACCGGGGCAGCCGCTTATGTAAAATCCTTTCATCTAGACTGGTCATCTTCGGCCATCAAATCCGCTCTAATGACGACAGGTAATCTTGAGTTAACCCTATAAATAAAATAAATCCAAATGTACTTTTTTTTCTTCCCATTATAGCTAATGTTTAATTATTTCAATTTGTTAATTTGTTGCAGCCTCGAGAATGGATGCCTCAAAGGACCAACTAGCTGAATTTTCATACGGAGCTGGTCATGTTGATCCACGAAAAGCTATTGATCCTGGGCTCGTGTACGAAATATCGACGGAGGATTATATTAATCTCCTTTGCAATTCAGGATATAATACAGCAAAACTGAGACAACTATTTACAGTTAATAGTAGCTGCAATGGAGTTAACGCACCTAAAGATATGAACTACCCCTCAATGACTGTTCGAGTTAGTGGGACCAGCTTTTCTGAAAATTTTACGAGGAAGGTCACAAATGTAGGAGTACAAAACTCGAGATACGAGGTGAAAACAAGCACCAGCTCAGATTATAGGATTGTGGTGAACCCAACAATCCTTACCTTTCGAGCATTGGGAGAAACACAATCATTCGAGGTATCTATAAGTGGAAAGATCAATGGTTATCTAGTTTCGGCTTATATAGAATGGACTGACGGCGTCCACACAGTCCGCAGTCCGGTAGTAGTATATTCTAATAACTCGATAAACGAGCCTATTTTCAGTTGGGCCCATTCAATTGGGTCCAACAAGATTTTCTACTTATTTTTAGCATTTTTAGTTAATTATATATAGTTTCAGTTGTATATGTGTTAGGGAAATATGTATGACAGTCGTTTATATTGGATTTCTCCATTAAGAAGTTGCTGAATGCAATTTGAAGGAAAACGAATTTTGAAAATAAAAACTGATTGTTGTCTGTTGACGACGTATTAGCTCCACTGATGAAGATTCTAATGCAGTGAGAGGAAAAAATGTATTCTTGTGTGGATGTACAGGAATACACTATGGAGTTGGAAGCAGAAATTGCGAAATTCAAGGAGGAAAATCAGGAGTTGCTAAAGAAATGGTTATCTAATTTCATCTTTTTTATCTCATCAATATAATTCATTTTCAGAATAGTGCAAGAACATATCTACCGACCAAACAATGTTCAGATGAGGCGGAGTTAAGATTTTGAGTGTTATCTAAGTAAAGCTCTCATTTACTGTCACCAGAGTCAGAAACTTAATCTACATTATATTCCTTAGCTAACAATTGCATCCGTAGTTATCAAGAAAGATATCAGTGTCAACAGATTGGAACTTGAAGGTGGCGATATACTTTTTTCCGAAAACTATATAACTGCAGGCCTTCTCTTTAAGTGCATAAATAACAAAGAACGCCAACTAAGCTCTTCTCGGAAGATATGAAATAAAATTAAAATGTCGAAAGAGCGGAAGAAATCAAGTATGTACTTACCTGTCTCTCCAATTAGGTAACTTGAAAATATACATCATCTGGATTTGTTGCGAAAGCTCTCCAATCAGCCGTTTCCTTTTCCTTGTGCAGCCTAAACTATTTGCCCCCTCTGCATTGTTGTGAAACCCAATCAGTACAGACGCAATATGAATTCAAATGCATCTACATGGAAGAGCAAGAAAATGTGTTAATGACTTACATTCGTTTGATTTGAAGATGAATGCGCTCTTGCGACTGTTTTAAAAATAAATCCTTGGAATCGTGCAATTTACTTCCCAGCCCATTAAGTAATTGTTCGAATTTACGGAAAGAGATATTAAGGGCATGTCTCTCAGCTCGATATTCAGTATGGCATAGAATAGATCAAATGTGAAAGCCTTTTCGATAAATTCTACTGAAATGTTATCGTTTTGGAAATCAATTGCTTCGATGTTGTTTTCGCCAGCTAAGACATTTAGTATTTGGTAGCTTCTCGGAGGAGTGTACTAAGGTCCTATCTACTTCATAGGATACTCTTAGGACATTCTGTAACTCACGTCATCACTGAAGTGTATGGGAAGCCCCTTCATTACTCGCCATTCTTTATGCTGTTTCTAAAGGGAAGAAAAAACGACAAACAATTAGTGGAATTTCAGCATTTAATCATAAGCTTATCTATGAGGAGAAGGAATTAACACCGAAATTAGAGAGCACATAGAAAAGACAAATCTAATCTTAACCAGCATAACAATGGTCATTTTTCCCCTTCATTATTCCTTCCATTTGTTGTTTCTTAACAAAAAATGTATCATATCTAATAAACGGGATATATCGAGGAGGGAAATATAAATTTTATAAGTATGTAAGTACCTGTCTCTCAATGCGCCACAAAGAAAATTCATGATGTCCTTAAACCTCTCCAATGATCACTACAGCCCTTTCCATTTCCTTGCCCAGACTAAACTGTTTGCGCCTCTGCATTTGTCGTGAAATCCAATCAACACAAACGCGATATGAATTCAAAGCCACTAGCGAAAGAAAACCTTATGCTATAGTAATTATAGGTTCTTCTATTCCCAATGTTAGTACAATAACTTATCAAAGAAACTTTGTGGTTAAAAGAATAATTTTGTCATCCGACTGCTGTATGACAAAATTGAATTGTCAAAAAGACCACAAACATGTTGGCATGTCATTATAATAAACCTGTTAGGAGCATCATAAAGTACAATATTTTGCACATAACAATAATTTCGACATAGTTAATCCTTCATTAGACAGCAGCCATAATAAAATCAACGAATCTTCTCATTTTAGAAAACAAAAAAACTTGGAAGAAATAGCAATTTTTCCAAGCAAAAGGGCAAGATGGTCATTTCAGTACTCATAATTATAGAAAGAAAAAAAAAACTCTTAACTATTACCAATAAGGATGAAACCAAACTTTTTTGAAGGACCGCTCCATTTTCTGCTCCTTTTTATATGTTTGCCCACCTAACCACGGTTACGTTTTTCTCTTACATGCACGTTTCTTTGAAGTACTTGTGCAATTGAGGAAGACCATCGGTAAGAAAATTATTAGTATACAAAGAAGCACTCTACAGCTTCAAAGCCTACGAAAAAAAAAAAACACAGACACAGTAATTAGTGCAATACATAATATATACATACTTTGAAAGATTCTTTGAAGCAAAATAACAGAAAAGCTAGTTATAATTAATACCTCATCCTTGCCAAAATTGGCCATTTTTTCCTCTAATGAGCCGACTTTTCCTTGGTTTCTCAGAAGACTAACGACTGTACCCCACCGGCATACCTGAAAGAGGAAATCGACGAAATCTTTGCCGGCTTCGGCATACAGGACTCTTTTGGCTTTGGTATCAATCAACAGTTTCAAGCTGATCGCTTTGGATTAGGCTGCGGCCATTGTTAGGTTTTCTTTCGTGTACAGATCGGGATACAATAACGTTGTAACCTTGCACCGACATTACTAGATAATCCAAACATCTTCGAGATGATCATGGCATGCAGATATCTTTGCAAAAGCCAGGAATCCATCGGTACATGTTTACCAGAACATCCTCATATTCAGCATGATCAAACACCACTGAGATAGCATCAATCGTTGGACCAGACATGATTTCAAATATGTCGTGGTCGAGGTAGGCTCTGTAATGTAATCAGAGACGATGTACGGAGAAACTTTTTCTGGACTTGTGCATCAAATCAACCCGAGGACCAGGAGTCATTTCAGCAAAACCAGCTCCTTGTTCAGGTGTGCTGCGAATCTCATTCTTGCCCATTGAGTAATAAGAGCTCTGGCAGGAAATCACGGGGGAGGTCAGTAACTCCATTAAATTACTATGCCGGTAATTCCTGATGAAATCCTCTTCGGTCATCTTTTCCTTCACCTGTACATTATGCTGATACCCATTAAGCATATTATCAGGGAATAAGACAACAAAAGAGCAGCATCTCTATTGGCTAAAATCAGCGAGGATTGCTCGGTAATATCTCCCTGAGAATGCCTCGTGCACTCTTTGTATCATCATAGATTCTACAGAAAGAGCCTTAATGCAGTATCGAGGTTCATGTAAATACAAATAATCACACAAAATGCAGTCAGAAACGAGGAGATCACACCGAACTAAATCGGGGATAACGTAGAGAGGAAAATGAAAATAAAGGCACGCATCAATCACAATACCAACACCAAAATAAACGAACAAATAAACTAAAAATTCAAAAAAAAAACATTAAAAAAAATAATGCAGGCTGAAAAATATAGATGAAAAACATATGGATAATTCACAATAAAACCTACAGAAAATAGCTAATAACGAATTTTAATTTCACTGTAGAGTTAGTGAGAACAGAGATGAATGCAACATTTGTTCCGAGTAAAATATAGCAACACTTGCAGACGTAACATCTCGAAACAAAACTTAAACTCCAAATTATACAGCATGAGCATTAAACTCGGTATTGTTTTGTTTCATGAATATGTATACTGGACAAGAGATATTAACCCCATTATTAGAAAACAGAACTCTTGAAAACAGGTATAAAATGGAAAGTAATATCCAAGACATAAGAATTGAGTTTTTTTTCCGACGGAGAACGACAGCGGCTGCAAAGTGTGACTTGGTACCAGAAAAGAAGCAGCGGCGGGAGAGAAGAAGGATTTTGAAGAGAGCGGACACGTGTTTCGGGCAGAAAATACGTAAAGAACAAAGAAACTGCATTTAGGCCCCTACCATAATTACTTAGGGGCCTGTTTGTTAAAGAAAGGGAAAAAATTAAAATATAGACATTTTTTTAGGCGAAATTACGGCCATGATGGGTAATTACGAAAAAGTCTCTCATGTTTGGGTAATTACAACCACCCTTTAACTATGAATCTTCTTATACATCCACCCTTCTCGTGTCAAATTCAACATAATCTTCTAGATTTCACGAAATATTCTCTAGTTTGTACTCGTTTTTTGCAAAAATACAGTTTCTGATGCACCATAATCTAATATTTACGAGCCAAGAGACACATCTTATGATGATCATATTTTAAAATGTGGAGCTCGAATGGATAAAACGGGTACAAACTGGAGAATATTCAACATAATCTAGAAGATTTTACTAAATTCGACACCACAAGAGTGGACGTGTAAGAAAATTCATAGTTGAGAGATGGTTGTAATTACTCAAACATGAGAAATTTTTTCGGAGTTTACCTTAACTCATAAGGTAATTTACTCTTTTTTTTTTACCTTTCACTCTATTCAGAAGGTAATTTACTCTTTTTTTTTATCTTTCATTCAGATTATAGACGAATGCCTTTATTTGTAAGCATGAACAGTCTACTCATTATGTTACAATGAATCTAGGGATAAAAACGGCTACTTCCAAAATAGGCCCCACCTTGGCATGTGGAGCTCCACCAATGGGAATTCCACAGTTGGTTTAGGAGGTAATAACGGTGTTACGGTTATGACAGGTTTTGCATGTGCCTTATGTGTGTAAGGGGTAGGAAAACTATATTTGGCATCTCACCTACATGATATTCATTAGGCAACGATACAATCTTCGTATATCAGAAGCCAACTTCTATTGCATCTGTAGTTATCGAGAACATGATCATTTTTTTCCCAGGAAATTTGGATTATTAGAAAATCAAGAAAGATATAAGTGTCAACAGATTGGAACTTGTAGGTGACGATATACTTTTTCCGAAAATTATTCAATTGCAGGCCCTCTCTTTAAGTGCATAAACAACAAAGAACACCAATTATGCTCGTCGTTCAAGTATGTACTTACTTGAAAATATACACATCGTTGTGAAACCTCTCCATTCAGCCATTTCCTTTTCCTCGTGCAGCCTAAACTATTTGCCGGCTTCTCAGAGGAGTATGCTGAGGTCGTATCCACTTCATAGCTGCGGTACCAATAATAATTTCTTCAAGCCCACCTTCACCTGATTGTCGAGCAAAATAAGATACTTGAACTATTATTGCACCATACAGATATACAAATGAAAACTCAAAGCCCCTTTACGAGTTGCATAAAAATCAAAACATTTCCTAATCAAGAATCAAATTAAGTATATACTACTAATTCTATTATATATAGACATGATAACAGAGCACCGAATAATTGCACCACAATTTTTTTTTTCAATAAATCAAACTCAACTCAAAGAGTTTCACATGACCATCACGACAAGTAAGAGTGAAAAGCGTCACCTGAAAATGGTAGTTTCGTATCAAGATTGCACATTTGCGATCTTCTTGATACTCTCTTACGTCCCTGGAGGGTGGCAAATTGGCAATTTTTCGACGAGTTTATAGAGACCACGTGAACCGTATATGATGTGGTACTTTACTTAACAGAACGCCTACAAATACTACAAGCCTTTTATCATGAATTACTTGAGCATTTATGATTGCCTGAAAGAGTAAAGAAGACGTCTATTAGCCAAAAAAAGCAAAAGAAAAGGTACGTTTTTCCCCTTTTTTCTTAGGTTGAGGTTTTATTTATTTCCACGGAAAAAAATTAACCCCTGAAGTTTGTCTGAGCTTTCGTTAGGGCCTCAAATGATCATACCTGTGACTTGAACGAACAGAGGTAGTCCTGGATGGTTTTCAAGTTGCCAATTAACTTATTATTGCCCTGGAAAAAGAAGTATATAGTGTTTGTCAAATAATTATTTGAGGCAGAGACAATAGAAGAGGGAACCTTGTCTAAACGAAACTTGACAAAGTTATCATTGAGAAGCTGGCAAGTGAGGAACAAAGTAATTATGCTTCCATTAGAGTTCTTGGTACCAACCTGTATTGGGTATTTATCACTGCTACGAGCAGATACCCATTCCTCTAGCAAAGCCTGTGAAAAATAGTTAACTTATTTAAGGCAAAATTCCACCAAAAAATATGGTGTCAACGCAATAGAAAAAATTCTTGAATTCGTCAACCCATCATAATATCCGGTCTTGTATGTTAGAACAAAATTGTTGACCTTACATTAATCAATCCTACTTCCAATTTTTGAAGATTTTAATTGTTGCTCATTGTTTTATCTATTATGACATTCTTGCACACAGCCAGTATACGGATTTCAAATCTTCAGGTCATGTTGAAGAGGTAAGTTTTAAGCTATATAGACTTTACGCCTTTCAACACAAGCAATTTCAGACGCACCTTATGATCAAACTCAGCCATCTTTAGGATTATAGGAATAATAATAGGTTCAGGACCAGCCTTGCCTTTATTGACTTTGGGAGCCTCAGTTGTGCCAGCATTTGTTACCATTTCACCTGTTAAGACACTGAGAAGTTAGAGCTGACCTGTAAAGTTGAAAGGAAAAAAAAACAAAGGAAAAATTATCTTTTACAAGGAAATTACAGTATAGAATGAGATTTTTCACCTTTAGAGTCAGGTATGCTGCCACCTACACTCAAAGATTTTAGAGCACCCGAAACCATATCCACACCAGATATTGCTTTCCGCACTCTTGAGTGGAAATATTGTCATTGTTCTGATTAGCAGCAGATGGAGCAGTATATTCTCGGTTGAGCTTCCACTTTTTACTTTTCGAGCATTTCTCTTCATCTTTTGCTTTATCTTTTGCTGAGCACTTCTCTTCATCTTTTGCTGGTAAGTTGGTCGATGATTTATTTTCATCATCCATCAAGTCAAGTAAATACTAGGATCCAAATGTATGCCCTGTAATTGTTGCAAAAAAATGACATATATCAGCATACCAGCACAAGTTATTAGTTGCATTCCACAAGCTAATATATCAGAGCATATCTCTGAGAAGAAAGAGGAACATGAAGACACTGGAAAATGCTGTCAGTACTACTTTTTTCTTTTCAGCATAGATGAATGCAACTACTTTGAATTACCAAAATACTTTGAATTAAATACAACTCTGATACTGCAGTGCGTTCAGTACAAATATAAAACAAGTGTTCATTTTCTTAGACTTGATAAAATCTCTAAACGGTTCAGTCTTTAGCGTATAAAGACATGAAGTGCTTAAAAGTGATAGATAAGTTGTCAATAATGCAGATGAAAGAAAAATATAAAGAACTGGCAACAATTACGAGCATGTAAATAAGAGACATACATAGCAATTTAGCCGGATCTGACTTGCCTCAATAATAATTGGCTTTCCGTCCTTCATTGCTTTCTTCATTTCCTTTTTCCTTGTGCAGCCTATACTATTTGGCCCCTCTGCATTTGTTGTGAAATCCAATCAACACAAACTCGATATGAATTCAAAGACATTAGCAAATACATCTATCTATACGGCAGAACACACTTCACTAATAAAAACGTGTAAAGTAATAGGGGAAGAAACATTATACTATAGTAATTAAAGGTTCTTCTATTTCCAATGTAAGTAGAATAATTAAAGAAACTAGCAAAATCCAAAGTATAGCAGAGCGTGCATAATCTGACTACTGTATGACAAAATTTTGCACATAACAATAATTTCGACATCATGAAACCTTTATTAGACAGCAGCCATAATATTGGAAGAAATAGCAATTTTTGCATGCAAAAGGGCAAGATGGTCATTTCAGTACTCATAATTTTATTTCATGCTAAGAATCAGTTCACGACTTAATTCAGAAACTAGAAAACGTCAATTCAGGCCATGATTCATAACAAGAAGTCCAAATTCCCAAATCAAATGATCGACTAGGTCTAAACATCAAAATCCCCCAATTTGGTTTCCTTAATTAAGCCAAAAACTAATCACGTACCCAAATAACAACAATTAGGTATCAGATTGTCTAATTAAACCTCAGTTACACATTAATCCTAGGTCAATAGTGGATTTCAGAATCGATTATACTAAAACCACCAAATTCGAACTCAATCTACAAAACCCCCAATTCGCGAAGAGCCCTAATTCTGAGATCAGGTATGTCCAAAGAGCGGAAGAAATCAAGTATGTACAAACCAAAATCGCCAAAATCGCACTAAAATCGGTTTTTAACGATTTTGAACCCGATTTCACACGATTTCAAGGCACTTGCGATTTTAGTGCGATCTTACTCCTTTTCAGTTTGTAAAATCTTAAAGTCTTACGATTTTACGATTTAGATCTGGATTTTGACTACATTGATTCAAATGCATCTACATGGGACAGCAAGAAAATTTGTTAATGACTTACATTCGTTTGGTTTGAAGATGAATACGCTCTTGTGACTGTTTTAATAAATCCTTGGAATCGTGCAATTTACTTCCCAGCCCATTAAGTAATTCTTCGAATTTACGGAGAGAGATATTAAGGGCAACGACAATAAGTCTTGAAGATCGGCTGTAAGATTGTCCATCTAGCTCAAGATTCAGTATGGCGTACAGTAGATCAAATGTGAAAGCCTTTTCGATAAATCCCGCTCAGATGTTATCGTTCTGGAAATCAATGGCTTCGATATCTTTTTCGCCTGCTAAGACTTTAGTAAAGATTCTCTGCATTTGCTAGCTTCTCAGAGGAGTACGATGAGGTCATATCCACTTTTTAGGGTATTCTGGAATTCCACGTCATCATTGAAGTTGTATGGGAGGCCCCTTCTTGCAAAAAAATTTTGCATATCTGGAACGGAAATATCAGATGCAATAGTAGCCACTTCATTACTTGCCATTCTTTATGCGTTTCTAAAGGGAAGAAAAAACGACAAACAATTAGTGGAATTTGGGCATTTAATCTTAAGCTTATCTATGAAGAGAAGGAATTAACACCGTAATTAGAGAGCACATAGAAAAGACAAATCTAATCTTAACCAACATAACAATGGTCATTTTTCCCCTTCAATTATTCCTTCCATTTGTTGTTTCTTAACAAAAAATGTATCATGCATAATGAACGGGATATATCAAGGAAGGAATATAAATCTTATAAGTATGTAAGTACCTGTCTCTCAATGCGCCACAAAGAAAATTCATGATGTCCTTAAACCTCTCCAATGATCACTACAGCCCTTTCCGTTTCCTTGCCCAGCCTAAACTGTTTGCGCCTCTGCATTTGTCGTGAAATTCAATCAACACAAACTCGATATAAATTCAAAGCCACTAGCGAATACATCTATCTATACGGCAGAGCAAGAAAGAATGAAGAGGGAAAAGGAGACAGGGCAAAAGTGACTTTACTCCTTCTCTATAAGGCTCGCCCGGGTGAAGCCTTTCATTTTTTATTCTTTCACAAACCAAGAGTAAACAAACCGATGCCAAGAATACATAAAAAGGCAGAACACACTTCACTAATAAAAACATGTAAAAGTAATAGGAGAAGAAACCTTATACTATACTAATTATAGGTTCTTCTATTCCCAATGTTAGTAGAATTAGAATAACTTATCAAAAAAACCAGCAAAATGGAAAGTAAACTTTATGGTTATAGCAGGGGGTGCATAATTCGACTACTGTATGACAAAATTGAATTGTCAAAAAGACCACAAACATGTTGGCATGCCATTATAATAAACCTGTTACGAGCATCATAAAGTACAATATTCTGCACATAACAATAATTTCGACATCGTTAATCCTTCATTAGACAGCAGCCATAATAAAATCAACGAATCTTCTCATTTTAGAAAACAAAAAAACTTGGAAGAAGTAGCAATTTTTCCAAGCAAAGGGCAAGATGGTCATTTCAGTACTCATAATTATAGGAAAAAAAAAACTCTTACCTATTACCAATAAGGGAAACCAAACTTTTTTGAAGGACCGCTCCATTTTCTGCTCCTGTTTATCAGTTTGCCCACCTAACCCAGTGAAGTTTTTCTCTTACATCCACATTTCTTTGAAGTACTTGTGCAATTGAGGAAGACGTCGGTAAGAACATTATTAGTACACAAAGAAGCACTCAACAGCTTCAAAGCCTATGAAAAAAAAACACAGACACTGTAATTAGTGCAATACATAGTATATACATACTTTGAAAGATTCTTTGAAAATGTGAGGTTCTCAGCCCTTAAAGTGGTACCTAGATTCTCTCGCTTAGGGTGAAATTAACATGAATAGATACTTTACTTACATTGACTTCATCTTCAGGCCACTTGTCCACATAATATAAGTATTGAAGACACGAAGGCCCACCACTGTCCAGTGTTTGGGGTGCCTGGCATATACATAAATCCAAGAAAAAAAAAATTTAAATACGAATAAACACACAAAATGCAGTCAGAAACGAGAAGGAGATCACACCGAACTAAATCGAGGGAAAACCTAGAGAGGAAAATGGAAATAAGGGCACACATCAATCACAATACCAACACCAAAATCAACGAACAAATAAACTAAAAATACAAAAAAAACATTAAAAAAAATAATGCACGCTGAAAAATATAGATGAAAAACATACGGATAATTCACAATAAAACCTACAGAAAATAGCTAATAACGAATTTTAATTTCACTGTAGAGTTAGTGAGAACAGAGATGAATGCAACATTTGTTCCGAGTAAAATATAGCAACACTTGCAGACATAACATCTCGAAACAAAACTTAAACTCCAAATTATACAGCGTGAGTATTACAATTCGGTATTGTTTTGTTTCATGAAAATTTATACTGGACAAGAGATATTAACCACATTATTAGAAAACAGAACTCTTGAAAACAGGTATAAAATGGAAAGTAAATTAATCCGAATGATAGAAACATTTACCACGTTAAAAAAAATCCCGAATACTAATATCGAGATGTGCAGTTTCCAGAACCGCCAATTCGGGGGATTCAATCCTCTTTTTGAGAACCCTCGTCAGATTTCGAAAGTAAATCCACAAATGCCCTGAACTGTTAATCCACGGTATCAACGTTAATTCTTTGTGAGCAATTTCAAAACTTCTCAAGCCTCCAGAAGATGAAAAATAACAGCCTACGAATAAATAAAAGACGTATGAGACACTTATCAACGGTACAATGCAGGAAAAATATAGAAGAGAAAGAGGCATAATTGCATAAATGATCATGCAATTAAATTAAAGAAAAAAAAATCTATGTTTTCTTCAATGGCAGCACAAACTATAATTCATCTGGACTGTACCTTCACGAAATTGTGCATAAGATTTCCCCTCAGGCCTTATCTACAGTAGCTTCATCGTCAGAAAAAAACAACAATAATTGATGGAATCGGCTCCCCAGAAGAAAGGTACACATCCTAAACCATTATGAACATAAATTAATCCAACAAACAAAAAAATAGTATTCGGAAAAACAAAGGAAAAATCTGTCCAGTAGAATACGAAGAAAAGGGGAAAAGAAATGGGCTGCAGTGCAAAAAAATGAAGGAAATCTCAGTACGGCGTCGTTTTTGCAAAAAAAATGTGCAAAAAAGAAATAGAGAAGAAAATGGCCGGAATAAATCAAGCAACATCAACAAACAGACCAGTTTTGTTTTCCCGGAGCAATATCCAAGACATAAGGATTGAATTTTTTTTATTTTTTTTTCCGACGGAGAACGACAGTGGCTGCAAAGTGTG